TACTTCACAGGGCAGAGTGGCCAAACATTCCCAGCCAGGTCTACAATATAAAACCACACAAGTTCATCATGTGGCCTTCCCAGAGGCAGATCTGAATTTTCCACAGCGGGCACTTAACCAAGCCACAGCTGAATGAAGAACCGAGTTTTGATCTCATGGCACAAATCTCAGATCTGCAGCAACGAGCTCTCCTATATATTCTTCCTCTTACGAATACACAAGACTCCTACTGAAACCTACCCAGAAAAGACCCACTAGACTATCCAACCCAATTCCAATCATAGATGCCACTCTCATATTGAGGGGGAATACAGATTTAAAGAAACCTGATGTATTTCCTAGAGACATTCTCTGCTTACCTCTTGAAAAAAATGTTGCCCAGAATATTTAAAAAAAAAACTTTAAAAAAAATAATTTTTACTCTAGTGTAAACTATGACTTATTATCAACTTTGTAAATCTGCACACAACAGGTGGACTTAGCAAAGATGCCCCAACACAGGTCAGCAGAGGCTCAGATGAATGTGGCAACATTTCAGATTCCAGACCATATAAAGTGATAACACTTCCTAGTTACACATAAAAGCTAACAGTCCCAAGCACTGTTTAAAATATTTTTTTTCTAAACTTAATCCGTTATGATTTATGCCAGTAGCAAAGAAATCATGTGTCTTCTGGAAACTTTCTGCCTTCTCCCTCTTACACATTCAGTATTTCCACTTACATTGTCACCTTCACTCCTCAGTTTCCAGAATGGCTGGATATAAAACCAGGATCCCTCGTTCCCTGCAGCGTCCAGAGACACCCGCATAGCATTCTTCTCTAGCAGAGCTGGCAATCTCTTATTGACTGTGAGGTACTTGTTACTTTTTATGTGCAGTAGCTGTGAACAAATAATAATTAAAAAAATTTCTCCCTTCAGTCAAAAGAGGAGGCGCAGGCTTTCACGCTGTAGTGATTTAGGCAAAATAAAGGCAAAATAAAGGCAAAATAAACTACAAGAGAGTTATCAAAATATACTGCAGTTTAGGAAAATAGATGCTATACCTCAGATTGAGAGAAATGTGTCAGCGATCAATTTTACAGCATATACTACACAGGTAGGGCAAGGGTCCATTAATAGTGTTACCTTCAGGAATTTCATCCATTACAGGAAAGCTGTACCGCACTTAAGAACATAACTTCTGTCTCATTTATATGTCATGAAGTACAAATGACTTCAGTGATTTACAAGGAGCTGCACAGCACCTCTATAGTATGATTTTGAAATAAATCTTGAAAATAAAAGATACATATTTACATTCAGATTCTAAACTGCAGCAGCAAAAATTACACATAAAATTTATATTATGACATATTATTTAAACATGAATATGCAGCACTTCTGGTAGGCTTTAAAACAGACAGAAAAACACAATATTGTAAACTTCACCAAGTTCTGTTTACCTGACCTTTGACAATCCAGATTACAATGGTTAGTTTCATTTTCACTGTAACCTTGAAATGAAACAACTGTTTCCTTCCCAGCTCTGAGAGAAGGCAGATGGATTTCAACAGGTTTACCTGTATGACATTGCTGTATTTTACAATTTCGCCCAACAGCTTTCTGTTCTCGCTTTCATTCTGCTTTTGTTCCAGTTCTGCTGCATGCTGCAAGAGAATGATTATTTCTTTAAACTCTACAAAATCAGTACCTGTATTCAGCTACTGGAACAGACAGGGTAAAAAGGAAATGGCATCACATTGAAAACGCTTCCTCCAACCTGCAAGCATTACTGCACTGAAAATATTAGCACCCGAATCCTGCTGCAGCATAATTTTCTGAACTATAATCACCCAGACCCTGTGTAATGATTCTGGTTTTTTATTACCCAGAATAGAAACTCATTCACAATTTATGGATCACACCTGACATGCATGCTATTTTAAAAATTTTCAAGCACAAAAAGTAATTCCAGGTGCTTTATTTCATCCTGAAAGAGGAAAAAGAAGGACCTAGGATTAGCTTCTCCCTGTCACCATTCCTTTTACCTGTTGGGTTTTTAAGTGCATACAAATACATTGATTTTATATATTACAGAACAAAACTAGTAGGTCACACATTGCAAAATCAAGGCTAAGCACAATAGTCTGTGTCAAACACAGCCACAGAACAAACCCCCAGCTCCTAGCTCTAACTGCTGTGCAGCTAGCTGTAGCCATACACCATGCGCCTTCCTTGCTGTTTTTAACTGGAAGCACTGGCCTCTCCACTGCACAGGAAACTATCAACCAGGTTTGTTACAACCTTGTTTTCACTTAATCTTATGCATTCAATTATAACATCAGGCCAGCTCTTTTTCAGAGACAGAGGAGTTGCTCCATCCACACTGTATCTGATGCAAAATAGAATCTGCCCAATGGTTCAGAGAAGAACCACCTAGACTGAAAGCAAAGACAACTGCAATTCTGAGGAATTTCCAGGCTAAAGTGCTGAAAGCATCTCTTTCGCCACCCCTCTGCCTAATTCCTGGAAAGGACTTCTAAAATAACAGCATGATTTAAACCAGGGCCCGCTCCTGATTTTAACAACTGCATTTTTACTTTCTAAAACTTCTGAAAGCAGTATTTTGCTTATAGCAAAGGCACGACCCCAGCCCAAGGTAAGATAAAAACCAGGGCAGGGGCAATAAATGCCAGTCAGGAGGCAGGAGAGCTAAGGAGAATACAAAGTTGCTACAGTGGCATAATAATACCCATCACGGTGGTTCCCAAGGCACTTGTTATTATTCTTTCTCATTCTATTGTAATTCTCCAGCCTGCAGACTGAGATAAGATTACAAATACAGATGTCTCTTACTTGAAGTTTCTTCAGCAGTGCTGCTTCTGTATGGTTTCCTTGTTTGGCTTGCTTGGCTTTCCAGTACTGCTTCTGGGCTGAATATCGGTTCATAGGACACACCTTGAAAAGGCAGTCTGTGGAAGATTGAAAGAAATACTCATAAGTAACATTGAAAGACACTTCCTTCATTTGTAAGTATGCTTTGGTTGGTTTTCTTTTTCCAGAAATGCCTAGATACCAGTGTTTAAACATGGTCACCAAACAGCTTGCTGGCAATGATACCATAAACAGGGTGGCAGAACATCTGAGTTAATCCTAAAGCCTTCAACGCCCCACACGTGCCCACTCGGTGCAACCTCGCTGCAACCTCTGTAAGAATCCCAGGCTGTGAGCCTGCCGTATGCAAAACTGCCTGCTGCTTCGTTAGCGCTCTTTGCTGCAGCACAACGTTACAGATGCACTGTTTGAAGGCACGTGAAACCTTGAAAAAACAGTCCTGCTTTCTGTACGCCATCCATCTGGCTGCCCTGCTCCTTCCGACACTGCTGAAACAAAGGATTGCACGGGCATACGGCTGCAAGCCACCAAGGAGGTTAATGCGGTGTTCGGGTCTACACGCGCCTTCACTAAAATTGATTAAAAAAACCTAACAGTAAAAACAACAAAGTGACACAAACTGAACACCACCACCATCCAACAGACCAGGCGAAAAACGGGTCAGGAGGGAGGGAAGGCCAGCTGAGAGGAATCACCCGAGTGGGGTGGCTGCGCAAACGACAACCTAGGAGGAGGTACACGGGAGCCGCGGAATGAAAAACGAGGAGCAGCAAAGGAAAGCAAGTCGCAACGCACCGACCCCCATCCCCTCCCCGCGGGGACCCGGTGCAGCATGCAGCGAGGGAGCTGGGGACCGGGAAGGGGGAGAGGTGTGTCCGGAGGGAAGCCAAGGGATGCTTCCCTAAGTGCTTGTTCAATTGTTCATCTTTATTTCCCAATACTGGAATCAATAATTGAAAGCTAATGTTAATTGGCAATAAACTAGATTTTGTGAAATTCCCCGATTCAAGGAGGTTTTGGGGGTTTTGGGCCAGTGACAGTCCTATAGACTGAAAATAGAGGCTCACAATTCATCCAAATCCGACTATTTTTAGAGTGATAAATGATACCTAGTCTTGAACGGTCCCAATCATCAACTGCTCTAAAAGCTAAGCTTTTTACTTAGCAAATGTTGGTAATTGTCCTTTCACACCCCACATATATCAACTGGCAAGAGGAAGGGACAGGAAAGTACTAATTAGCAATCAGAGTTTTGCTGTGAGACTAGTAAGAACATATAGGACTGCATGTGTATTACGGCGTGAACCTCTTCCCCAACATGGGTTGCAATTTATAGATGTCAAAGGAAGGTCTGTCCCAAACTATTAGCCCTCCAAATTTAACTGTCACAGACGGCCAAGCACTCTCTGAGGACTAATCCCCAGAAGAGAAGGACCTCTGAAGAACTTCCTCCCTGCTCCATGTCGGGGTCTCAGGAAGGTAGAGACAGGAGGGAAGCAACTATTCCTACCTGACTCCCAGCCACCCAACCGCGGCACAAGCTCGAGCCAGGTAATAGCGGCAATGTATCCTACTTAGAAAAGGTTTTGCCCCAGGACTGGATTAAGAATAAAGAAGTTGTTCTTCTGATCCCACAAGCACATCTTGCAGGCACTGACACCCCAGTTTGGCCAGAAACAGCAACGTCACTTCTTTGCTGGTCATCAGGCAACTTTCCCACAAAGAAGAGACTCTGCAACACCACTGGAAAGCCACATTGCATAGAGTATGGCACGGACAGCGCTCCTCACAAAAATACAGAAAAGAAAGAGAAAAAGAGGAGAACAAACACGCCAGCTCCATGTGAGCAACATGAAGTGCTTATTTACCACCACACTCACCAGAGTTAATGGCATACACATCACATAGCACAGAACAATTTGAAAACAGTCCTCTCTACCCGCAGCTCTCCTGCTGCCTTCTCCAAAGAGAGTTCCTCTCCAACAGCGCTGTATAGTCACCCTTACCTCTGCTACCGAAGGTGCTGCAATATGAAATAGCAACCGCAATACCAACACTAAGCGCACATTCCAATTACACACTGGATCAATGTGTAGGTTGTTGAATTCACCAACCTTGCATGTCATTTTTAAATACAGCGTAATCTCGTCATTCACCCATTACTGTCACAACGTCAGCAGGGAAAGTATAGGGAACTATCCTGAAGTCATGGTCCGGGTTTTTAACCATTGCGTCAGGTCAGCAGCAGACAGTTTCTATTTTACGGTGCTGTCCTACTCACTATCTCATTCCCAGAGCAAGTTTAACATCTGCAGTTGCTAACTACCTAGGACTTGTTCCAGCTCTCCAATCCACAACGGCACATAGGGGAAGTCCCATCTATCACACATGTGATGAGAAAAGTTTCTTAACTGTTCCACCCTTATGAGTGGAAATTCAAGTGTCAAACTCACAACCTCTCTGTAGAAGATGCTAGATGCTAAGGCAGATCCTATTCTCATTTTCAACACTGTCAATCCAATGGAATTACTCTTTCACACAGGGAGGAAGAGGAGGAGATTTAGCTCCTCTGAGATACACCCTCCAACATACCCCTCTCTTCACAGTCTGCGAGGAGTTACTGAAACCATGTTACAGCAGAAACACCCCTTGTAACACAACAGGAGAGGGAAGGGAAATCTTGCCCTTCCTAAGTGAAAATGAACTCTCATTACTTAAAATAAAACAGGCAGCACTCTCAACTACAATCAGGCCCAGCTAAGCACAGCTATCCGATGTCAGTGCTGCCAAAAGCACAAGAGTAAGACCGTGCCACACGTTCCTCCCACCGCCTGCGCCCACAGAGCTAGCAGTTTGCAACAGTGCTGGCTCTCAAGCCACGAACTAAGCTGCCAAGGCTTTTAGTTCTGCAAATATGCCATTCGGCCTCTCATATATTGGCCATCATTATACCAAGCTTTTAATTGCATTGCCTCTTCCCTTCATAGCAATAGATCTTCCTCTACTATTCCTAGCGGCAAAGCTTGTTTATACAAAAACACTGCCGGCGGTAGAACTTCCCTTGGCACTGACCCAAAGTCCTCACCCATTTGCTCCCTAATCACAGCCCTGAGTTGCTGTTCCTAGGAGAAAGTGTTACAAGTCTTTATCAAAGCAAACCCAGCCACCTTGCAAAGGTGTTTACTTTCATTTCAAAGGGGAACATTTACAGTGAGAACTGTATCATACAACCTAGTGTACATAACTCCCAGGTAACTTTTACAACACCGAGAAGAAAAAAAAAAAAGCCATTACAAAACACTGTGTACTGTTAAATCATACTGTATGTCGTAGGAGATTTCACTTTGGGTGTCGGGATTTCAGCTCCTAAGACAAAAAGTCCGCTATTATTTTCTGTAACAATCTATAATTAAAGTGCCTTCTCAGAAGACTTCATGAAACACTTACTTCTCTGAAGTAACAATACCTTCTTTTTATAGGACCAGTCTTCATTTCTCACTTACTCCCCACACATCCTGCTACTTGAGTAAACACACCGCTTCCCATCCTCGTGCAGAGTCTCAAAGCACAGGGCTACCACACTGCAGAGAAATGCAAGGTGTATACGGATGTGCAGTCACTACCGTGTGGGTCTGCCTCCCAAAGGTAGGTGAATTTTTCCTAATGATAGTTCTCAAAGAAAAGGAGATACAGAACAGGCACTAGGTAACTTCAGCCACCACACAGCTCCATCTGTAGCCATGCTGCACAACACAGTTCTCCAGACTTCCAGTGTTGTGCTCTAGAAGTTGAACTACCAAGAACTTTTTTAAAATCAGTATTATTTCAATTGTATTTTCCTCAATTTACAGACTAAAAAAATTCATGTTCTTTGTTTCCAGACAAGCTTTTCCCTATTTTTTTTTTCTGTTTTTTTTCTACTTACTTTTATTAGAGTAACAATAGCATACAATATAAATTCAAGCTTTGTGGTCCTGAGTATCGGGGGGTGGGGAAGCGGTGCCTGCCTGGAGAAGCTATAGTTTAAATAAACAGGAAAAAAGAGAAACTGAGGCATAAGATTATTAAGTAACTTTCCAACCCACACAGTAGATCAAAAGCTCAGCCCTCCTGGAGGTCAATCTAGCAACCCACTCATGAGACAGACCGTCTCTTCTAACTTCTTCAGACATTCTCGGATAGTCCTAGTTCCTAACTCATTACTTCATGGAGTTTTACATAAATGCTTCTCTTCCTGAGGACACTAATTAAGTAGGCATTAGCAAAGGTAAACAAATAGCTTTAAAGCAAATAGCTTAAAAGTATCAGCCAGTTTCACTTACTAAACTTTCATGCGTTCAACTTCCGCAGTTTCATCAATTTTCTCATACCCACAAAATCTTCCAGGCAAAATTTCAATTACTTGTGCATGAAGTGAAGATGGAGAAAATGAGAAACACTGCCCACCTCAGCCCACACACACATTTTTAAAACGATAAAAATCACTTAAAGTTTTCTTTACAAAATGGAAAAAAAGGGGAAGCTCTCCCTGGTCGCACTCCAGGGTTAAGCTCCTACACTACATCTTGGCTTATTAGAAAGTAAGAAAATATGACAAATTATCAGTGCTGAGACACATTTCAATTACTTATTTTATGGGGAAAAAAATGACATTTATTAATCAGAACAATCAAAAGATGGAAAGCAGCAATGCCCAGAGTGCGGGAGACGATCCACAGAGGATGCACACTCAGCACCAAACTGACCACCTGCCTGAGCCTGCAAACGTGCACAAAATGCCAGTCTGCAAAAGGCAATAGTGGGTGGAACAACCACACACAGCAAATGATTCTATGATTCTATAAAAAGCAACTACACTCAGGAAGTCTGAAAAGGAAAATAACTCAGATTATGCCTCTTAAATGTTTATTGATATTGGATAAAGATGGCTTAGAACAGTATTTGTCAGATGCTTTATCTCCCTGCCTCCCCCACCCCCACTCCTTGTTTTTTTAAGAGTTAGAAATTCAACTCTTGCCCATCATGGAAGATTTCCACGATTTGCAGAACTAGAGAAATTATCACATGGCTTTACTTAAACCAGCAGGCTGACAAATGGGTAAGTAGACGTGATAGGGCTATTAAATCACAGTGTGTACAAATCTATGCATTTTGAAACAAATACAGAAAGGTAAAAAAGAGCTGAAGTGAGAATGGAAAGGGAAGAATGCAAGGGAGCAAGGAGTGGGGCAACGAAAAGTCCTAAGGAGAACAGAAAAAGCCATCAGGAGTCTGAGAAGAAAATTAAAGCAATTATGGAACTGAGAGAAACAAGAAGAAAACACAAGGACAAACCAAAACTATGTAGGAGAAGGCAAGTAAAAAGGAAAATGGCAGACAGCAGAGGAAAGGGTAGGAGGAAGAAAGGAGAGAGCGCAGACAAACGTAATGGAAGGGAAAGAAGAGGAAAGAACAATGTCAGCAAAAGCTTAGAACAGACTGAAAATTGAGAGAAAGGCAAGAGGAGGATATCTAGGAACTCAAACATCACTTTCATTGCAGATGCCTCAAGAAAAAGGGGTATAAAACAATGGAAGTTTAAATCAGTTTAAGAACTTAGGTCATTTTACATTTAAAATAGAAGAGAGACTTGTGCTCCTTTTTCAGAGTTGCTAAATTTGACCAACAAGCAGGTCTTATCTGTGCTATTTTACACCTTGGAAGCTGAAAGTGTTTCCCACTGGAGATAACAGCATCAAGCTGAAGTGTGTTTAAGGTCACAGTCTAAGGAAACTTGCAGTTCTGTTGCTCATGATGTGACTTTTCTTCAGAGGTACGGGACTTCTGGCACACACTGTTCTTCCTAATCTCTGTGAACCTGGCCCTGCAGCAGGTAAGCATTTCCATCACGACACTAAGTGCTTTAGCTCTCACTAGCTTCAGTTAGAATTAGGACAAGAAGCACCTGGCTTGATCAGTCCCTTAAGTTCAACTGCAAAATAGTAAACGCTTTTTTTTCTTCAACAGACTTCAGGAAACACGTGTGGAACCAAATTCTGCCCTCCTTCGCACTGACGCAAATCTGGATATGCACATTGATGAACACAGAGCCACTCCAGGTTCATTCCAGTGTGACTGAAGGGGAAATCTGGACCACAGCTGCTTTGTATGGACGCAAAATGAAAAGCAACCACAGCTTTCCTTAGCTTACCAAGGAAAGCTACAACTCCATTTGTAGGATGTTCTGAAACAACTAGAATAGCTACCACCCACTCAAAAAAACAGAAAGTAAACACATAACAAAAACGAAACTGCTATTTTGAGACACCTCTTTACATAGGCTTTCAGTTCAGGCCAACAGCTCAGTACCTAAATTTGATCTCTGAGTGAACTCTGTAGGAGGGATACAAGTAGTTAGAAAACACAACCTTTTTTTTTTTTTCTTCTGTTGGGAAAAGGGTTGATAAAATATTACCAAAAAAGAGCAAACATAGTCCTCTGATGTTAATTTTCAGAGTCAGTCCTTGGAATCTATCTAAACATCTTGTTAGAAACATGCCTTTCTCATACTTACTTGACTCTTAGGTCATGCTCTAACCTCAAATCAACGCCAGTTCAGCTATCAGTGATAAAAACATTGTAAACCATACAGACAGCAGTTCCTATTACTAAGGAGGCCCTACTCTTCCTGCTGTTAGATGCTATTTTTAGTTGCTTATGTCTAATCATTCATGCCTAAGTCTTCTTTTTATGTCAAGAACCTACTTAAAGCAGTTTTTGTTTGTTTTATTAACTTTGCCGTTTTAATTGAATGCTATTTCCCAGAATATTCTTGGGGAGGAAAATACGGGTTTTGCTTACGTTTCTTGGTAAGCAACAACATTTAGCAACCCTTTTGCCTCAGTGCTCTTGAGCAGAGCTAAGAAATTTAACAAAGCATGGCAGAGATGTGCTCTCATAATACAGACACCTCTGTGGTACCAGGCACTAAACCCCAATTAGACAGCAAGTTTCTGCTGTGTTCTCAGCAAAACCCCTGCTATTCCCACACTCAGAATTTGACTTGTAAGATGAAGGAGAAAACAACCAAACGAGGGCTTTATCTTTACTGCAGCCATTCTCCTGAATGCCACTTAATTACACATACCTGAAGCAGCATGAAAACACTACTAGATGCAGCCCCTAACAATATAGCCATGATGTTATAGCATGGTGGGTTGCATCAATTAAGGTGACAAAACTCACTTTTTCACTAATTTAGCTTCTCCTACAGATGTTGCAGTTCATCCAAATTTGCATGCTACCACAATGCTTAGCAACAGCTAAGCAAGCCACTTCAAAATTAAGTCAGATATGGGTGCACCCTAAACCAGAAAGAGGAAAAGAGTGAGAGGAAGAGAGGCTGCTGGAGCCAAAGGGAGCTAAGAGGCAGCAGTGAGGAGGAGGAGAAAAGTAGCTAGCAAGAAGTTTTGGGGCAGGGAGGGAAAGGGAGAAGAGAGGATCCCCAAAAAGTGGAGGATCTGAGTTAGAGGAAAGGAAAGGTTAGATGCTATGGGGAAGATGGAGCAGAGGCAACTAGAGATAAAGGAATGTCTTATGCAAGCAACAGACAGAGGTTGCAATAGGGAACAGAGCCAAAACAGTCTACAACTAACAGAAAAACATTCCCCTGCAGAAGCTGGGATGTAACTCAGGAGTACAGTCCCTGCATTCCCCCAGCAGCAGAAAACAGCTGTATGTCTTGTCTGTGCCTCATCCCCTTCTGACATCTGATCTACGTACACATGTGCTACTGCCACCACTGATGGCATGCCATTAACGCTGAGAGTTCAATAACCTCGCACCCTGGATCGAAGTGCCCAGACCTTCTTGATGTCGTTGAAATCACTTTTTTGGGCAGAGGGGCGGGGAGGGAACTCAAGACAGAACACTATAAACTTTTTCCTTCTTTGCCTTTTCAAGTTAGGAAAGAACATCACAGAACTGCAATAAAATAACTCTACTGTACTGAAGTTATGAAATCAAGCCCTCAAGCATTAGACAACGAAAAAATTAAGGTTGTCTTTTTAACCTCTGCTCAGCTCCTTGATTGTAGGAATTTGGATGTATTCTGCAATTATACTATCACATGCAAATTGTTTCCAGTGACCCCTGTCTCATCTAGAAACCTGGACATGTTCTTCTTTGGGAATACATCAGGGTGGTGAAGTGACAGAAATACTGTCCAAAGAATCCCCACCTGAAATTTTGTGTAACCTGGAAGCTGTGAATTAAACATGTATTTGCAGGCAGCGAGAGCATTAAATCACAGTTAGGTAGCCTGAAAGCCACACTGGAGAACTAGATGCTATCCCCATCTCTGCTATAAAGTTATTCCATGAGATCACGCAAGTGACTGAAATTTATTACTATTAGTTTCTAAGTATACATCCTCACTTTCTCAATTTCCAAAATCTGCCTATGTGCTGAATGCTTACAGCTGGAACTGGAACCAACTGCTGATGTTTCCTGAATATATAATGGAAAAAAATCTTGAATACTCTGGGAAAGCAGAACTTCAGTCTCTCAATGTTTTAAATGCAACTTCTTTGCAATAATAACATATACGTACTACAGTATAATAAACACTGGAAATAAAATAATAAGGTTAAGAATGTCAGTGCAACCCCTTGAGATAGATACAAGCAGCCATGAAACGCATTTCCCTTGCTCTAAACCAGGCAAGCCGTAACTGTCTTTATCTTGTAACAGGTGTGAATCCAAGCTCATTTAAGCCAAAAGAGGTCTAGATCAGGCTAGTAAGGCTCTACTTTGGCACAGCTAGAGCCAATGGCTTAAATCAAGTACAGACAAGACTGAGAGGTTTTATTTCCTTCCCTGCATATAAACACACAGAACTTCTGATACCACAGGAGTATTTTTTAGCCTTCAAGAAGTGGAAATGGCATGTTGTCAGTGCATTGTTATTTTTTCCAATAAGCAAACAGCAGAATTACCCAAATCTACAAGGACATGTCTAAGAAAGTTGAGAAAAATCAGATACGGTTTTAAGCAAAAGCAAAACAAAAAGCTGACAAAATATTTGGGGGTAGTCCTTAAAATGTTGTCTTATCTTTTAAAAAAATAAACAAACCAGCAGCTCAAGTAGTTTTGAACTTCACGAGCTTGTTTCGCATTTACAGTAAGAGCAGGGCTGGAGCAAGGAGTTGGTCACACAGCGGGGGATCAGCATTCAGTATACAGAACAGAGCAACCAACTCTTGGACTACAAGAAAATGAGGCCCTTTCCCCATGTTTTCCACCTACCCCTCGTGCCTTTGCTAATTTGGTATTTAGTTCTCAAAATCTGTCATTCACATTCCAGTTTGAAACTTCGGCAATGTGTTCACAAACCATGAAGGCATCTGGGAAGTTACATGTCTGGTAAGGCAAAGTGCCCAAGGAGTTAGAACATGCATCAATCGGTCATTAAAAAAAAAATTATCCCCAGTTACTGACCTCTGAACTTCTTTGGAGGATTAGCAAGGTCACCTGCCTCTGGCTGAACCACACACCGGTCATCCACTAACCTAGAAAAACAAAAGTTATTACAGTTACTAAAACAGCTTTTGACATCAGTGTATATAAATGCAGAGACATACCTGTCACACCATAGTTACAGAAGCTTACACATTTCTCCAATTTAATTCAAAAAATACCTTAGAAACTCTATTACTCAGTTACTAAGCACAACCAAGAAAAGAAAACTCTACATTTTCCTTCAAGAAAGAGGATTTCTTCTACTGCACTAAATTATGGCCTATGTTTCAGATCCCACTTCATTTAAATCCGGTAAAAGTCCCTTTTGTTACACCATGTACGTTGATGTTACATGTAAAATTCTTGTTTTCTTTCGTTAGAGCCCATTAACCCTGAATCAGTTTGTTTTTCTGCAGCTGTCAGATTTTCACAGCCATTACCCTAGGGCATAATCCAAAATTCATCAAAATCAACAGAGAAACTCTGAGCCACTTAAATGAGCCCTGGAAAAAGTCCTCAAAGGAAAATGTTGGGAAGGCACACTTGTATCTGATAGGAGAAAGGAAATTTAAAGCACTGCGGATTACTTGGCCCCATACTTGCAAGCTGTCCCGCGCTTGCAGATTCGTGCATCCCCACTGAGGACTTTTAAGGGGATGCACAGTAAGCAGCCTTCACGTGGGTACGAGAGTATATATGGATCTGCTTACACGATCAGGACATGCAGGGGGGTTTCTCCAGTGACTTGCTGTTTCATAACACTGTTTTACCTAGAATTTGAATCTGGAATCCGATAAAGCACCTGGATATTAGTGTTTAAACATTCTGCTATTCCATTTCCAATCTTCTCCTCTGAGGAGGCACGTGGAATTAAGATTCAACTCCGATCAAAACTCACAGGACCACATTTTCCTTTGCTAAAATGAATAAGCATTTATTTAATCCACAGCAGAAAATCTAAATAACAAATCAAATATATTTCTCACAATATTTTAGAAGTTAAATAAACAATAAAATTAAAAAATATAAATTGTTAATCTTATCACAGAACTTCCTAAACATAAATTCAGCTTCCTTTCAGGAAGCATCCTGTAAATAATCTGCCTGTTTCAAACAATTATTCAGGAAAATCATGTTTAAGGACACACTACTGCCCTGCCACTTCACAACAACAGTCTTAGCAGCATCTTCTGTGGGAAATTGCCAGAAAAAGCACAATTTGGCTTCAGCCAAATTACACAATAGATGCACTCAGTTTTCACTCAAGTTGGTGAAGGCTTTGCTTCTAGACACAAGCGCAGCAAGACCGATCCCCCAGCATGCCCATGAATTTTCCACCTCTAGCAAGCTGACTGCTGACAAGCTGCCCACTGTGATTGCAGCTCCCAGAAACAGAAGCGAAAATGATAAAGAATTTTGGAAGTCAGCAGCTCGGATCTCATAACATACTTGGATGCAAATGTGAGGTGTCAGTGAGGAAGGAGAATTGAAGCAACAGTTCCAGGAGCAGGCAGGGGACCTGCCATGGCCTTACGGAGTTGTGTTTTTCACAGTCTAGATTAGGCCAGGCTTAGTAAGAATGAAGTAAGGTTTGGAAAGCAGGACTTAGGAAGAGTCAGTCCTGCAAGATGCCCTCTTGTTTTCTTTTGTTAGAGCCCATTAACCCTGAATCAGAAACAGTTTGTTTTTCTGCAGCTGTCAGATTTTCTGTCTATGATCTAATGGGCCAAAGCTTCCTACAAACAGCACCTAAAACCTCAAGTCACAGAAGAAACAAGTCCGGAAAGGACTACCTTAACAGAAGCTTTCCCAAAGGATTTTAATGTCAAGAAGTACTCTCCCCTCAACAAAATCCCTCAAAAGATTTTTGAATGAACCCATAAGGTTTGACCCGTAAGCACTGTCAGGATGGAGGACAGTACGTTGGAAGCTGAGCGTAATTCACAAGGAACACCTTGTGTTCCTTGGTGACAACTTGTGCGCCCTCATGACAACTGTAACTGTGGATGAAATGCAAAACTTTCATCATGGCGCCACATCACGTAACAAAAGCCATATCAAAAACAAGGTGTTGGTGCTGAGAAGAACAAACAAGATCCTGCACACTCTTGGAGCCAGTTAGCTGCAGTGTTCAAACATGTTAGACTTCCAAGGCTCAGAAAACAGACATTAAACTATTAATATCAATCGCTTTCATTTAAGCCTTCTCTAAAGGCACAAAGATAAGGACCATAAATGAGTTCTGCGGTCATTAGGAACCAAAAATATCAGACAAGACAAAGGAGAAAGGAACTGCTGCTACTCCCATCCTATAGACACAAAATGACAGCACAGAAAGATTAATTGACATGGCAGGACAGTGGCATGACAGACCAGAAACATCATCTCCTGAACCCTTGCTCAGTGCCTCAGCTTCTGACACCTTTGTTTCTTACGAAGTATCTTACAACACAGGACAAAAATCTGAATAAATTATTGCTTTGTCTATATAGCAGTCTTCCAACAATTTAATCCCCAACATTTCCATATAATGACATTCATCCTGTGTTCCAGCAGTATGCGCTTCAAAGAGTTCAGTAGCTACTTGTTTACTGTGGAGGTGCTTGTTACGGTACCGTAGTGGGAGCAGAGTTGCACATTGCACACGGTGCAAGACTTCAGCCTGTTCTGTAGACTGGAACAGAAGAGGCTCTTCAAACACAGACCACTTCCTCTGACACACAATTCAAAATATTCAAATCCCATTTTTTAAACCAAGCCAAAAGGCAGCTGTTGGTTTGTTACTGACGCCTGCTAGGTGGCTGCGTTAAACAACCAGTAATTCACAACCTTTGTAACCTGCAAACAATCCATTTGAGATGTGTGAAACCGAACAACAGGCTGGACTACAAAAGGTCCTGAGCACCTGCAGCTTCTGTCAGATCACAGCACAGCACGTTTTAAGATCACTCACTTGCTGGTTTGCCTAGGAGGCCAGGGTGCACCAGACAAGACTTTTCTGATAAAGGCAGAATTTACTATATTATACCATCAAATTTGTTAGCTATTTAAACACTGATCTAAATTACTATGCCAATATTCAAGCCACTGTATCATCAAAGAAGCTTTGGCAAACTTCAAAGAGTTTAATTCTTCAGCTGGACTGCAGACAATACCGCTTTGTGCCCTCCGTTGTCATTCAGATGGCAGATAGAATATGACTGCATTCCAGTCATTTTCATACGTTGGTGGCATATAAATGACAAAGGAGTTCCCTGCACATGTATGATATGATTTTTATTTGTGCAAGTTCTTCCCTGAACACACTAAATATCTCGTTTATGCACAATGCCTCCAGGTAATTGTTGCACTGCTGTAGTAATTAAGTTGTACAGTAGTTCGCCGGTGCCTAAGATAAATCATCAGAAAAGTCAAAATAATAATTATGGCTCTGGACTTTACGCATACTCCTTTGTATTCAGTAGTTGCAGAATTAGGGTCTGAAAGTAACAACGTTCATGGGATTGCTTGTCTTAGATGCCCAGTCATTCTCCCACTGAAGCCAGTGAAAGTTTTTCCGCTCACTGCAGGGGAAGCAAGGGCAGTTCCTCACCATGCCGCTGCATGCAGCCAACCTCACAGACTAGCAGGTATTTAAGCCATTAAGATCTCACGCTACAGTGTACAAAGCCACACTGAACAAGAATTGAAACTATCTAAAGCAATGCCTAGGAGTTAAGGTGTGCTTCTCAGCAGAGGCCGGGGAAAAAAGTAAAGGCAGCTTTCAACTCTCTGTTAGCATTAGTGGGCATGGTGGTGTTGAGTTGATGGTTGGACTCGATGATCTTAGAAATCTTTTCCAACCTTAATGATTCTATGATTCTATGATTAGCCAGGATAGTGCACCGTATCATGTGAAGTGGTCAAAGCACGAACCTGTACAGAGTCCTGCACCTATCTTCTTCTCCCTTCATTTTTCCCCATCATTTGGTGGGGTTAAATCTGTCCTTTCTCACCACATGCAAAGCCAAAGGTGTATAAGCATTCACTTTAGTAATATCTTGCAGCAATGAATTCCATGTATAAGGTAGCACCTGTGTAAACGTATTTACAAGCAGTTTCAAATAGAGTGCCTCTCATTTTTGTTGTTTCAGCAACAAAAGGACAGGATCAACTTCTCTGAATACTATTCATCATTTGTATTCAGAACTTGCCTAATACAAACAACTTCAAACTTCCCATACAGCTTCTAATATCGCTCCGCTCCCTGGGCACTGGGCAGAAGCAGGGAAACAATAACTTGCAGTAATTCCCACTAAATCTTTCCACTGGGTAGAGCAGCAGCCTTTGTAGGGACCTTCACTGAAAGAAAAAACAGAATGAGACTGTGAAGAACCAGTGGGGACTCACCGTGTATTTGGGGAAAGAGGAGGAAGGACGGACCGATGGGAGGAGCAGACTAAGCGGTAGCAGTATAACTGATAAGGCAGGTATGTGGGCAGAAAAGACTAGGTACCTGCGTTTACAGGTATGAATCATGTATGCTGGATGAGTCTTCATGTCCTACAAGCTCCTCTGATGACCTAACACAGGCTAAAGGTAAATACACCAAAGGTTTCTAGGAACTTGCAGATGTAGCGCGAGGTTCAAGGAATAGTTGTATAGCGATAATCCTAGAAAAACTGTTCACAATGATGAGTTATTTTAAATTTACTGCTGAGATACAGTTGCATTCTGGAAGAATAAAAACCAATGTAAGGAAAAAAATAGAAAAGGAATGATGATGAATTTCCTGAATTTTAGGGCTCTTTCATAACATAAGATGCTTTTTAGATTGTGCAAGAAAGCAGCCACATAATATTCATTTATCCTAGCTTTGTGCCTTCAATTTAAAAAAATATCATCCTGAAATGTATTTTTTCTCTTCCTACCAACAGAGACTTCCACTTTTCATAGCCAATATTATTAAGCAAAACAATACCTAAACAAACACTTAAGACAAAACACACAAGCACACAGACTCTCTCATACATGTAACTACACATACATGCGTTGTGTGTGTGTAACTTATTAAAAACTACAAGACCCAGCTACTGATGTCTATTATAATAGACGGGAATGAGCAGAACTCAGCTTGGTACTCCTCACACCTATGTAGAGTATTTTACTCCTCAAAAAGCTGAATAAACTAAGCTAGAGGCAATGTCTTCAATCTAAGACACACTCTCAGTTGCTCAGCTTTTACTCTCTTAATGGTGTCATCATCTCACTGATTTTCTGAGCAGCATAAGGCCCAACAGCAGCAGGAAGAGGGGGCAATGTTGACAACAGACATCAGCAAGAGAAGCTGGACATTTTAATTGCCAGTGGAGCCAAGCAATATCTTTGTTCAACATCAGTTCACAAATCATGCTGAGGTTACATCCCAAAGACACATAACCTCAACAGCCCCTCGTGAACAAAGGACCGGCCCTCGAAGCCTCCCTTCCTTTGCTCCTCAGACGTCCCTTCACATACGCAACCTCCTCATCAGAAACACTCCTCCAGAGCACCTCCACCCAACACACTTCTTCCCTTCCTAGCAGCTCTCACCCACAAAGCCTCTACCGTGCTCCGCACATCCCAGCACACAGTAACCGCTCAGGAAGAGAGGTGCCAGTCCTATCACTAAGAAGCCAACCAATAACGAACAATAGGTTATTAAAATTTTGCTGCCCTGGAAATCAAGCATCAAATACCTAAGTGCCAAAACAATCAGGTCCACCCAGTTCTTCTCCAAGTCCACCCACTTTTCATTTCATTGAGCCTCTTATCAGGCATCTAGGTCAGCCCACTTCTTGCTTGCTTCAAGCGGTCTCCTGCCAAAAATCTACAGTCATCATACCTCGCCCTTCCCAAAATGTGAGTTCATACTCCTTTTTGACTACCAGTCCTGATTCAAATGATTTACAGCTCTATGATTTAGCTCCACTGTATGAAATTTGTCCTTTTTCCTGTCTCCTTCCTTTACAAAGCCAAATTTTTCATCATCATCTTTTCACATCTGCGATCTTTCAGGGTCTCCTACATTAACCCCAGCTTGCACAGAAAATAAAAAGGATCTTCCTTGCACTTATAGCAGGGCTATTAAGCCTCTGTACCATTTAGGAAGATTCCATGTTAAAAATCCCTTTTGATAAATGGGAGGATCGCAGTACACAGTATTCAAACAAGAACTGCACTACATGCCAGTGAGGTGCAGCAGCACAGAGAGAGACTAGAAAGTCTCTAGAAACTCCTGCCTGCCTCGAACTTTAGCAATTTTATCCTTTCCTTTCTGAATAAATTTTAATTGCTACAAACACAAAGTTTAACACAGGTTGAAAGAAGCTATTAAATGAATATCCCTACTCTGGAAAAACAAACTTCTATGCATCTAAGATATTCCAAACTTCTCAAAGTGTCTTAAACAGCAGACAAATTTCACCATAAACCATTCTCAATGTAAAACAAGAATGTGGGTGCATTTTCTCTCAGCTACACAGATCAGGAACACTCAGCCATTCTCACCATGCTGAAAAATGCTTGTGCAGGTCACTTTGAGTTGTATTATCAAATGCAACGGAGACAGAAGGGCAGAAAGCAAGGTACCAAGCATACACGGGAAAACGAAACAACAGCATGCAAGTAATCAGCTCCACATTTGCACTAACAGTGGCACTAATAATCAGCCCTGAAGTTTTTTCCTTATCTGATAGTGCATTCATATATTCTTGTAACCGTACCCGCAGGCTTGCATGTCGGAGGGGGAAAAAAAAAGCACAAGTTTTGCCTGTTCAATTAAGTAATCCAGCTATAAATCCTGAATGTCACTTGGTTATTCTTTTGTATTGTATTATATCCAGTCATGCTTTTAGCTTGTAAAAGCTTCAGAAACCTGTTCAAGTAGAATTTTTTTATCCATTTTATAGTTACAGTTACATTTAAAACATTGTGCAAATGAAAATAAATTCTAAGAATAGAGTTAAAATAAATTATTACAATAGAATAAAGTGTTATTTGGAGATTACA